AAAAAAATACATACAGTAGAACACACCAATCTCTCTGTAGGAAGTCACATGTAAAATTTATCAATTAGCCATTTGTGGGTTTACATATATTACCTCCATTGGCACAAGAAGTATGCAAAAGTAGGTATTATCACCTTTTTCAGAATCTGTATGGAACTTTTTCCGTCATAAAACTGGCAAAGTTAGATTCTGAAACTACTTCCATATGATTTCTAAACCCATACAATTTCCACTATATCACACTGTTTCTAGAATAACATAAAAAACTTTTTACACATTCTCTGAGAGCAGCTAAGAAATATGTTGTGCTTATACACAGAATATTTATATCTTTACTCAGAGAGTTCCCGTTGTGCAATTTCAGAAACTTCACAGAGTCGTAACGGGGTACTGTAACCTTGGACTCTGCATTCTAGATTCCACTAACTTACACTGAATAGTCTCATATCCAAATACCTTATAGATCCTAGGAAAGAAGTTATATAATAAAATCATACCTGAAGTAATTCTCATAACTACTTACATTTCCTTCAAATGCTTTATTTCTTGAATAGTTTGAAAAGCAAGCTCTTGTAGCTTTTCTGAGGCAAAGCTATCACTTATTGCTTTTTGAAATACCTCATGAAGAACCGTACCAATTAGCATTTGACGTGTGGCTGGATCAGAGCTCTACGAAAACAAATCATACAAATATTTTATTTCACAACATATTTATGGAAGCAAATCAGACAAACATTTTATTTCACAACATATTAACAGACATGATTGTATATTTATTACCTAATCTATTAAACCATCATAGCCAAAATGCACTGGTAAGAAAATGTTTTTTCTAAGGCCGGGCTCGGTGGCTCATGCCTGTTATCCTATACTCTGGAAGGCCGAGGTGAGAGGATTGCTTGTGCTCAAGAGTTCAAGGACAGCCTGAGCAAGAGCGAGACCCCATCTCTACTAAATATAGAAAAATTAGCCGGGCGTCAAGGCACACACCTGTAGTGCCAGCTACTTGGGAGGCTGAGGCAAGAGAATTGCTTGAATCCAGGAGTTCAAAGTTGCAGTGAGCTATGACGATGACACTGGACTCAGAGCAAGAGAACAAGGCTCTGTCTCAAAAAAAAAAAAGTTTTTCCTGGTGGGTGTGATTATAGGTAAATTTCACTTTCTTCTATTCAGAATTATCTGTATTATTTTACGAGTATGAGTTATTTTTTAAATCAGTATATTTCCCTTTTGAAAAAAACATAACCTATATGAAAAAGCTGAATATATTCTCAAATATTTAATAATTTAACAGTATTCTTCTAAACCTTTTATAGTTCATAATTAGCATGATGATTGGGTGTTCACGCATATGTGCAAGATGTGCCTCCCTCAAACCTTATTACGATGTTGGCACATTACCCATCTGACGTGAAATATTAAAAAAAAAAAAAAAAGAAGAAGAAAGTATTCTCTAATTTCACTTTTATAATCTACCCAAATAGAAAAGTCAATAAAGGCACAGCTCATAAATTCATGTAAGAAAAAGCTATCATTTAAACATAAAATTTAAACCTATGGCAGAGATTTTGGGCAAGAAAGTTCTCTCCACTCAAAAAGGAAAGAGCATTTATTTCTCAATTAAATTTTTTTTTTTTTTTTGAGATAGGGTCTTACTCTGTTGCCGAGGCTAGAGTGCCGTGGCATCATTATAGCTCGCTGCAACCTCAAACTCCTGGGTTCAAGCAATCCTCCTGCCTCAGCCTCCAAAGTAACTGGGACAGACTATAGGCAAGCACCTAAGGGGTCTTGTTATGTTGCTCAGGCTGGTCTCAAACTCCTGGCCCCAAGCAATCCTCCCACCTTGGCCTACCAAAGTGCTGGGATGATAGGTAACAGCCACTGAGGCTGGCCTCAATTAACTCTTATTAGCCTAGATATCTCCCTTGAAGCTACCAAAAAACTAGATAAAGTCCACCAAAATATCCAGTAGGAATTTTAAACATTAATTTACAGAGGAACACTGTGCTATTTCTGTAAGTTCTATGTGAGTCAAAATTATTTCAAAATAAAAAGTTTTTAAAAAATTAATATTCAGGTCTGCTTTACATTATTAAAAGAAATGTTGATATTCCCCCACAAATCAAGCAAAAAAGCCAGTAGAATCCTAAGATAAAATAAGCTACAAATAAATGACAATTAAGACTATTACAAAATATATTTAGGTATTTTTCTTCCTTTTACACTTCTGGCTCAGCTGGATTTGTAGTTTTCTACAGACACATGAATTATGTAATTTTAAAAATATCCTAAGAGGAATGGAAAAACATTCAACAAATAAATGGCATTGAAACGCAAAGGGTGGGTAAAAGGCAGAAGTAAAATAGAGACATAGATTAAGAACTAACTTAAGAGACCTATCAACCAAATGAAATACTAGGATCTTAACGGCTGCCAAAATAGCTCAGTTGAGAGAGCGTTAGACTGAAATACTAGGATCTTATTTGGATATTGATTCAAACAAACCAACTAAATACCAAGATTTTTTTTTTTTTTTTTTTTTTGAGACAGAGTCTCACTCTGTTTGCCCTGGCTAGAGTGAGTGCCGTGGCGTTAGCCTAGCTCATAGCAACCTCAAACCCCCAGGCTCGAGCGATCCTACTGCCTCAGCCTCCCGAGTAGCTGGGACTACAGGCATGCACCACCATGCCCGGCTAATTTTTTCTATATATTTTTAGTTGGCGATTAATTCTTTCTATTTTTAGTAGAGACGGGGTCTCGCTCTTGCTCAGGCTGGTTTTGAACTCCTGAGCTCAAACAATCCGCCCGCTTCGGCCTCCCAGAGTGCTAGGATTACAGGCGTGAGCCACCACACCCGGCCTACCAAGATATTTTTGATAAAAAACATTTAAGATAAACTTAGCATTAGATTTAAGGAATTACTGTTCATTTTACTGGGTATAATAAAGACATTATATTTAAGTTTTTTAAAAAATTCTCTGTTGGCATTTACTCAAAGTAATACAATGTTTGGGAAAGTTGGTTATTAATGTTGCATACAGGGGGATTTATTATAATCATCTCTTTGTATATGTTTTTGAAATATTCCAAAACAATGTTTTTAAAAGACACTTGTACATTTATTGTTTATTGAGAACCACTTGAAGCCGACTTTGGAAATGCCTAGATGTACTGAATCAGTTTTACTTACATTAATTTTCTTATCATTAAACCTACTTATTTATATTATTAAGTGTTGAACAAGATTCAAAGGACTCAGGCACCTCGCCTTGAGTCCCAGCACTGCCACTTACTAGCTACATGACTGTGGGCAAGTCACTTAACCTCTCTAGGCCCATTTTCCTCATCTGTAAAATGCAGCCAATTAATACCATCTATCTTCCAGAATTGCTGTATTAAATGAAATAAAAAATGTAAAAATGCTCTATAAACTCTAAGATCCTATAAAAACATCAGTCGTTAATATTACTTACCCTGAATGTTTCACTAAGGACAGCTCTTCTCATACAGCGAATACTACTGGCTATGCTTGTGCCAGAAATCAGCATGTCTGGATATAGAATCAAATATCCAAAATGTTTATCTATTATCCAAGTACCAGCCATGCAGTCTCCCTCCAAATGAATGATATCCCCTGGCTCTATTGGTACAGAACACCTGAAAATATACAGCAAAGTTAAGGTATAAACATATAAATACATAGTTTAGGTTCCTACATTTAAATGTATTAGGAAAGCTTCAAAAAATAAATGAGCATTTTATCTGAAGAAGAAATAATTATTTCTGAATTCTAGGTCTTTTTTTTTTTTTAAAGAGACAGGGTCTCCCTCTGTTGTCCAGGCTGGAGTAAAGTGGCCCAATCATAGTTCACTACCACTTCGAACTCTTGGGCTCAAGGGATCCTCCCACCTAAGCTTTCTGAGTAGCTAGGACTACAAAGGCATGCCACCACACCTGACTAAATTTTTAATTTTTTGGTAGAGACAGAGTCTCACCATGTTGCTCAAGGTTGGTCTCAAACTCCTAGCCTCAAGCAATCCTCCCGCCTCAGCCTCCCAAAGTGCTAGGACGTGAGCCACTGTGCCCGGCATACCATGAGTTTTAAGCTGCAATCTTAAAACAGAATATACTGGGAAATAGGAAGTCATCATTAATAAGCCCCTTTGTACTTGACTTTCAAATGACAATAAAAATCAACTTTTGGAATAAGAGACTTGAGATGCTGGGGTAATAGACACAATTTGCATGTAGAATTAAACCGGGTTCAAAATACTCCCTTCTTAACAATTATAGTAACATCCACACAAGACATTTGATGGGATTTAAGATGGGACCCTTAAGACTCTGACAAACCAGAGCTAAAAGTCATACAAAAATTACCAGTCATTCCTAAGGATGCACCGATCTTTATATTCTAGTGACTGGTGAGCAGTGATGATTAGGTGCTTTTCATGGTTTCCCTCTTCGTTCCGCACAATATCGACTGCTAACACCAGGTACCGGTTATCCATTCCTCTGGTCAGAACTGTTTTAGGAAAAGAAGATACCACTTTCTTCTGAAATCTAAAGCATACACATACAAAACTATTTTAGCACAACCATGAAATAACAAGCCACAAATCTCTTTTATCAAAAACCAACCTTCTAGTTTTCTAGGTTTGTTTCTTCTGGAAAGCTTATTACAGTGACTGTTAGCTAAAACAGGTAAAAGTAAGAGAGCAAACACATAGAATTCCCATTATAAAAACGTCCCAGAAATAATGCCATTTAAAACATGCTCACAATATACGATTTCCATATTAGTCTCTGAGGAGTTCTGTGGGATATCTATAACTGAGGATTAAAAATAAATCAGAAAATATTAAACAACAAATTTCTACCACTGGTGAAAGCCTTCCCAAAGTACAAGTAACAGGAGATGTTTGGGACATTATCCTTTTTGTAAATAAGAGACTTAAGTTACGGAAAAGTGTAGCGTAGGTGGTTCACTGGAAGTCCTATCATAAGCTACAGAATTGTACTTAAAATCATCTGGTCGGACCCAACATTTTATGTAGGAAATATTTCTACAAAATCTCATTAGGGATCAACTAGCCCCTGCTTTGTAGAGAAAGCAAGCTCAGTACCTGTCACAGTAGCTCATTCCTTTATAGAGTAACTCGGAAGTTTCTTATTTATAATGGACAAATCAATTTCACCATACTTTAATCCAACGCTTCAAGGCGTCTACATTTATGCAAAATAATCTCTCCTCCGAAAAACAGCCCTTCTCTTAGGTACTTCTTAATTCTTCCCTGTTTAACTGTAGCATGAGTGAGGGACCAAATAAGAGTCCAAAGTCACATCTCTCCAGTTATTACGTCAAATGCTTTTCACATTACCCTATAAATTATCTTCAGTCACCCGACAGTAGACCTTATTATTTTGTAAACACTTCATTCCTGTACCCCACCTAGCCTCAGGCCATGAATTTCCCAAGGAAGGCTGTGTGATGCCCATGGATCTCTCAAAAGGTATTGCTGATCAAAACCTCAAAGGCAAAAGTCCCTCGACACTAATTAGCATTATTGCTATTATATTGAAAATAATTTCACATTATTACTGTGGTTACATTTCTCCATTTACACTGAGCTGAGGGTGCAGAGCTCTCCCTGGAATAAGTTCCTCCAACTAAACATCGAGAAAAGCATCAGGCAGTTGCTTCTATTTTTTTTTTTTTTTTTTTTGAGACAGAGTCTCACTGTGTTGCCCAGGCTAGAGTGCCGTGGCTTCATCCTAGCTCACAGCAACCTCAAACCCCT